GAGAAGAGAAGAGAAGAGAAGAGTGAGGGGGGATTTGAGAGCAGCCTTCAACTCCCTGAAGGGGGGGTCCAAAGAGGATGGAGAGAGGCCGTTCTCAGTGGGGGCAGATGCAGAACGAGGAGCAACGGTCCCAAGTTGCAGTGCGGGAGGTCTAGGTTGGACATTAGGAAAAAACGATTTCCCGAGGCGGGTGGGGAAGCCCTGGGATGGGTTCCCTAGGGAGGGGGTGGAGTCTCCATCTCTAGGGGTGTTTCAGTCCCGGCTGGACACAGGCCTGGCTGGGATGATGGAGTCGGGTTGGTCCTGTTTTGGGCAGGGGGCTGGACCCGATGGCTGCCCTGGGATTCTAGGATTCTGCGAGCCAAAGGCTGAGACAGGCCAATCCCTCCCTCTCGCCAACCTCCCGGGACTCTAGCAAGTCGATAGCAGCCCTGGAGCCCCCATTACAATGTTGCCATAACTCCTCTCCGGTCCTGATCCGCAGTGTCCGAACCCCTGTCCTGTTTGCGCCCATCCTCGCCCACTGACAGGGTCGCCGGGCACTTCCCTTCATGGGACCGGCCCCGGGCGTGGGGCGGGCGCTGGGGGTTCAGACCTAGGCAGGGGTTTCCCCCTGTCTCCCAAAATCTGCCCCCTCCGGGGGCCTTATCGACCATGTTCCTGTCCATTTGGACCCCCCGGCACAATTTGAGGTCGATTGAAAAAGCAGATCCTAGATCACTAGAACTGGAAGGGACCTGGGCAATTTATTCCAGTGTTTCTCCTCTACTTTTCTACCGCTTCCCATTTATCCACAAGAGTTGTTGTCCTGTCAGCTTGAGTTTGACATGCTTTGTTCTTTACAAAGTTTACAGAGTAACTTTCCAAAGTTACCTGTTACCTTATTATCTTCCAGGGCTGTGTCTACACTGGGCCACTTATTCCGGAATATCAGCCACGTTTCCGGAATCACTTGCCAGCTGTCTACACTGGCCCCTTGAATTTCCGGAAAAGCACTGACGATCTCATGTAAAATGGTCAGTGTTTTTCCGGACATACTATGCTGCTCCCGTTCGGGCAAAAGTCCTTTTCCGGAAAACTGTTCCGGAAAAGGGCCAGTGTAGACAGCAGAGATTTCTTTTCCGCAAAAAAGCCCCGCTCGCGAAATGGCGATTGGGGCTTTTTTGCGGAAAAGCGCGTCTAGATTGGCCACGGACGCTTTT